AAAACTCTGCTATCTACGCAGCCTCTGACTGAAAACCCCCAAGGGCAAGGAACTCACTACCAGAGAGTTTTTGCAGTAGAAGAGAGCAGTAGCAGAAAGTAGCCCTGCTCTTTTGAATGCGAGGTGAGGCCCAGAAACAGCCACGTGCTCCAGGTCACCCCTGCGCCTGCCACTTTGCCCTCCCGCTGAAAGCCAGGGACACGCACCACAAGGATCCCCTGGAGAATGGAGAACGCCTCCTCCCGGATCTCAAACCAGCAGCCCCCCATGAACCCTCAGTGCCTGCCCAGCCCCACCGACACTTTCTTCTCTCAACAGGAGAACAGGAGAGGTTCATCAATTCTCTCTTGGGATTTTCAGAACATCCTCTTGATCTCCCAAAGGGTGAGAGACCACGGGAGACAGACGAGCTGATCTCTGCTACAGGTGCAGCACCTGCGGCCTTCTTCCAGTCCCTTTCCTCCTTCTTCCTCCTGAATCTGATCATGAGGCTGTCCGCTAAAACAGGCCGCACTGTGGGGGAACCTGTGACTTAGGGCCCCTAATTCAGGAAACTCTGCAGCTGTCACTCCCAGCTCCTTTTCAACACCCGGGGTGTGGCAGGGGGAGAGTGGGTTTGGGGAACGCATTCCTTTCTACAGCTGCTGCTCATTTAGGAGCCGCAGCCCCCAATCCTACCCCCTCCTCTCACGCAGCACGCACTCCTGTCCATCAGCACCAGAAACCTGCAATTTAGCAGGGCCAGAGAAGAGAGGGGACCAAAGCAGGGGTGACACGAAGTGTACCCCCAGCCCAGGACTTGTAGGGCAAGTGGGGAGAGAGCAAAACTCGAGAGAGAATGAAAACGACAGACACCAGAAGGTCAGCAGCATCCAGGAAAGCCCGCAGGCCACTGGGTCGGAACGGATATTGGGAGGGGCCAGGGTGGGACAGGGGAGAGCCACAGCCAACAAAACCTGGGGCGAAGGATGACGCGGCAGCCACAGCCGGCTCCAGAGGCAGCTGGAGGATTTGCTTGCGCTTCACACACGTGTACAGCCAGTGTGAGGCCAGTTCACCGACCGCTAAGGAGGCTGAGGTCACACGAAGGCTCCCACTTCAGCTAGACAACCCTTCAAACACCACCCAGAGCTGAGGCGACACCTCCCCTGCCGTAGATGACCTTGTGCCCTGTGCCAGATTTATCATAACCCACCCTATGCCAGAATAGCATAAAGGTGGCTCCCAGGTGTCCATAAATTCTAACAAGAAAGCAAGGACTGAAAGAGTAGAAGGAACTACACAGAGGCCAGCACACAAAATGGGGCCATTCCGAAGACTGATACAAAAGCAAACGGCGCTTCATACGTAAGGACCTCACATGTGTGTAACTTGATCACTTGCCAATTCACGGTGCCTTAAAATAAGAACAAACCAACGGCCCAGGAGAAATGAAATTATTTCTGCTACTGAGACTCCACAGGAATTTTTTTTTTAAATTTTTAATGTTTTTTTAATTTATTTCTGAAAGAGAGAGAGAGACAGCATGAGCAGGGGAGGGTCAGAGAGAGAGGGAGGCACAGAATCTGAAGACAGACTCCAGGCTCTGAGCTGGCTGTCAGCACAGAGCCCGATGCGGTGCTAGAACCCACGAACCGTGAGATCATGACCTGAGCCGAAGTCGGACGCTCAACCGACTGAGCCACCCAGGTGCCCCTTCCACAATGTTTTTTAAACTTAAAAAAAAAAAACAAAAAACTTGAGAGTTTGGGTGGGGTGCTGGGTACATGGATATATATTGAGTTTGTGAAAATTCACGGAGCTAAACACATAAGCTACACCCTTCCTCTGAGTGTGTATCATGCAATATTCCAATAAAGTAGTTTCATTGGGATGCCTGGGTGGCTCAGTTGGTTAAGCGACTCCTTTCACTCAGGTATGATCTCACCATTTATGGGTTCCAGCCCTGCATCAGGCTCTCCGCTGACAGCTCAGAGCCTGGGGCCTGCTTCAGATTGTCTTGTCCCTCTCTCGCTCTGCCCCTCCCCTGCTTGTGCTCTCTAAAATAAATAAACTTTAAAAAAAAAAAAAGGGGGGGTGGTTGTTGAACATAACCTTGATCACGTCCCTCCTAGACGGCCACTCCTTCACAAGAAACAAAATCCAAGCTTCTTAGCAGGACTTGGAAGTCCTACAACAACCCATTCCCACACCTTCTCCACTGCTCCTTCGGGGCCAGTGTGCACAAAGCCCGCAGGAGACTATGCCCTTCCAGACCACCAGGCCTGGCTCCCAGTGGGGTGGCCACCTGCACCGTAGCCACACAACAGGTGCCTGCTGACCCTGGACCCTGTTGCTAAACCACACGTTGCTGCTTACCCTGGACCACAGCCACCCTACATGTAGCTGCTGACCCTGGACCCTGTCGCTGCCCCACGAGTGACTGCCCACCCCTGACGCTGTCGTGGCCCCACGCGTGACTGCTGACCCTTGACCCTGTCGCTACCCCACGCGTGGCTGCTGGCCTTGGGCCCGTGGCCATCTGCACATAGATGCAGTCGGGGCAGAAAGAAAAGAATGAGGTACTTCGTGCGTAGCTTCTTACACTCGTCACCTGGGCAAAAAAACACAATGTTGCGGATACTGTGGCTTAAAATTAACGTCACCTGTTCTTTTCACTGCGGCCTCTAGACCACTGTAGGACTTCCGCAGGGCGACAGCACCCAGCCGCAGGGCGCGTCCTCAGCACCGGCGAGCGCGGGAGAAAGCGGGCGAGCGCCTCCGAGCGGGGAACACGCGGAAGCCACACGTTTGCGCCGTTTGCGTGCGAGGCGTACGTGAGAATGCGCGGGGGCGGGCTCAGGGACGGGACCAGAGGAAAGGGCGGGACCAGAGGAACGAACCGGCCGGAGCGCGCGCGAGGAGGACTGAAGCGCCAAAGAGCATGCGCGCCGAGGGGGTGGAGGCGGGGGACGAGTCCGGGAAGGGGCGGGGCCGCGCCGCACCCCTGACTTCCGCCGCCTGCCGGGGAGACCGCCTAGAGTCCCGGGGCGCGCCACTGCGGGTCGGATGAGGGAGCTTTCCGGCCCCGCCCCCGTTTCTCCTCTAACCTATAGGAGCTGAGCAGCCCCGCGGGCACCGGAGAGAGGCGGAGCCTCCTCCCTAACTGGGCCTCGCGTTCTGGGCCCACAGCGCCCTCTATTGATCCTCTTAGGAGCGGGACGGAACCCGTCCAGCGCGCTTTGCACCTGGCGGAGAAAAGGGTCGCTCATCTGGCCTTGGGAAAGGGCCATCCCCACCCAGATCCTAGCTAAGCCCCTCCCCTCAGACACGCATTTTAAAGTAATTTTTTTACTTAAGCTAGATAGACCCCCCCAAAAAAGAAAATTACTTAGAATGCTAACTGAAGAAAGCTGGATACAAAAGGCTAAACCTTTTATGATCCCAGTTATATGACATTTTGGAAAAAACAGAACTATAGGAACAGATCAGTGTGGTTGCCGGCGTCTGGACTACACAAAGGGGCAATTGGGTAACAGTGAGGAGGAAACTAGTTGGGGTGATTGGGGTGACGGTTCCACAACTGTATGCTTTTATCAAAACTCACACAACCCCAAACTAAAAAGTGAATTTCACCAAATGGAAATTACACTTTCATTTTTTTAAAAACATTAAAAGCAGAGGGGCACCTGGGTTGCTAAGTTGGTTACGCATCTGACTTGCCCCAGGTCATCATCTCCCTGTTTGTGGGTTCGAACCTTGTGCAGCGCTCTGGGCTGACAGCTCAGAGCCTAGAGCCTGCTTTGGATTGTGTCTCCCTCTCTGCCCCTTCCCAGCTCAAACTCTGTCTCTCTCTCTCTCTGTCAAAAATAAACACATGTTAAAAAAAATATTTTTTGACACAAAAAACAGAAAGCAGATTGGTGCTTGCCAAGGGCTGGGAGGAGGGGAGAATGGGGAGAGACCCATTAGGGGGTGAGGGGTTCATTTTGGAGTGAGAGAAATGTTTTGGAAGTGAACAGAGATGGCAGTTGTACAGCAGTGTGAATATACTAAATGCCTCTGAATTGTTAACTTTAAAATACTTAATTTTAAGTTATTTGAATTTCACCTAAAAAAAAAGTTTAGCCTCCTGCCTACCTTTCTATTCAACGTCTAGAAGCATTCATTGTAGGGGTGAGATGTAAACTGGCTATTCTGCTCTGGCCTCAGTCACCATCTACCTGTCACAATATGTACATGAGGAAAAGCAAGGCAAGGGGAACACTTTATAAAGGTGGCTCTGCTCACAGAGGATTAAGAGAATTATAGGTCTGGGCGCTTAGGCAGCTCAGTCGGTTAAGTGTCTGACTCTTGCTTTCAGCTCAGGTCATGATCTCATGGTTCGTGAGCCTTGTGTCAGGCTCTGAGCTGATGGTGCATAGCCTGCTTGAGACTCTCTTGCTCTTTCTTTCTGTCCCTTCCCCACTCTTTCTCTCTCACAAGATTAAAAAAAAAAAAAAGAGTTAAAGGTCAACCTCCCTACCCAAAAAGATGAAATGCCCCTGTGCCACTAATTTCCAACCTCACATGAAGAACCTGATGCTCAAAGATGAACCAGCTCGCCCAAGGAGGAACTGACTTCCTTTCTATAGATGGGGAGACTGAGGTTCAGGGAGATTACGCAAGATGAGGAAGTGGCAAAGCGTAGGGACTACATGACCCCTGAACATCCTTGTCCTTTCTCTCAGATATAGGAAGCTGTGGCTTGGTGGTTCATTCTCTCCTTGCCTCCCCCCAAGGAGCTGGGAGCTGCCCCTCGCACTCCAAAAACCATCTCCCATCTTTGGACAATCCCAGGAATCACCCCAGGGAGTTTGGGGACCCTGATTTCTCATCACAACACCACACTCCAGCTGGGGGAAGTCACTGTGCTCAACCACATCCAGGCCCCTCTGCTGGGCCCCCAGAGCACTCCCACACCCGAGTCAGGGAAGCCTCTCCCGGCTCCTCAGGACAGCACACACCCCACAGGCACGGAATCTAAAAAACAAAGTACAAACTTTATTTTGTTTCTTTATAAAGGCACGGTGGCCTCTTGGTTTTTCCCCCCACTTTCTTAACAAAATATAATAGCTTCTCCTTGAACACAAAGACCTAAAAATTAAAAAAAAAAAAAAAAAAAACAAAAAAACAAAAAAAGATAAAAAACCAAAACCAAAAAGAACCAACAACAAACAAAACAAAAAGAGAGAGACAAAGACATTTTTTGGGTGGAAGATGGGAAACCCGGAGGGAGGGGGGGGCTAGGTGGTGGTGGGGAAATCCTCGCGCTGAGCCGAGGCCAGGAGGGGAGGGGAGAAGGGCAGCAGCAAACCCCAACCGAGAAGCAACGTAGACCCCCGGGTCCCCAGAGAGCCTCGACCCAGCCAGACCCCCAACCCATGTAAGTGCTTAAAGGAGAAAAGAAAAAACCAAAGAGGAGGGAAGGAGTCAAAAACTGTGGGTCTAGGGCTGGCTCTGGGGAGGGCAGCATACCATGGGGTTTCGTTTGATTTTTCCCTGTTCTTCAAAATATGTTTAAATGATAAAATGCTTTTTGGCGGAGAGAGGCCGGGCACCTGTGTCAGCTTCCCCCGGCCTCCGGGGCGAGGCCCAGCCCCAGGTGTCCCGGTGCCCCCAACGCGCTCGGGCCACCCCAGCCCCCGGGGACCTCAGGTCGGGTGGCTTCGCTCAAAGGTCGATTTACAGTATTGAAAAAGAGGTCATAAAAGAGACCCAAATGACATCGTAATTTTGTAAAAATTCCTCACTTGTTCACCTGCGTTTGCTCCCTGTAGCTGCCCCCCGGCCCCCTCCAGCCCCAAGAGGGGAGAGGAGGGCTGGGGGGTGGTCAGGGAAGCCCCCCGTTCCCTGTCGGCTCCTCCCGGCTCTGGTCCATGGCGTCGCTGTCCGAGGCCTCTGAATCGGAGGCCGTGTCGGAGGCATGGGCCTCGGGGCAGCCGCGGCCTGGCTTCACGATGACGGCTCGTCGCTGTTCTTCCTCCTGCTGCTGCCTTTCCTGGGTGCCCTCAATGTGCTGGATCGCCTGGGGGGGGGGGGGCGACAGGCTGCGATGAGGGTGGCCAGGGACAATGGGCCCCGTACATACAAACACAGACACAGACACACACACACACACACACACAGAAAGATCCAGAAGTAAGCCTGGCAAGACAGCAACTGGCCTGCCAGAATACAGGGGAAACAAACATTCGGAACTCCTCTGCGGAGCTGGAAAGCGCCTCGGTGATCACAGTTCAGGGCCGCCTGGAAGTCACATGCGTCTCTCATTTCTGTATTTCAAAGTCTGCCTGTTCACTTAGGGGATGTCTCTGTTATTAACGTGATTCTTCAATTTGCTGCATTCGTGTGCAAACAAAGCTGCAGGGGTTGGTGGGCTTGTGTTGTTGTTTTGTTGTTCTTTGCTTGGGATGCTGTTGGGTTCTCCCAAGGGATGCCACCCAAAGTGGGGCACAGCAGAGACTGCAGGCCTGACCCACACTGCTCGTTATCTGTGCAGAGGCCTAACTGTCCCCCACCCAGCCACTGCCACCTGCATCCCATCCCAGGTCCTGGCAGATGGAGCGGAGAGGAGGCTCTGGAGCGAAACTAGAGCTGGATGCAGGAACGTGACACCAGGAGGCTCAGGGAGCAAAGAACCCTCTCAGAAAACCCCATGGAGGGAAGAGACAGGGTCTTGCAGGCCATGCTGTCCCCCTCTCTGCCCCAGAGCTTCTCCAGAGCCACCTCCTACCGCAGACACAGAAAGGGAAACTCGGGGATGGAGACGTCCAGCTGCCAGACCTTCCAGCTATATTCAAGCCCCATCTCCACCCCCTACGGCCTCTGGCTCTCACACATCTCCCCACATTTTGCTCCCTCCCCAAGCCCGGGTACCTGCACGATCGTGTCCAGATTTTGCCGCGATGTGGAAACAGAGTTGATGACGGAGGAGGGGCCCATGGTGACGACGTTGATGTGGTGGGAGGGAGGGGGTGGCGCCGGCACGATCACTGTGGGGTGGTGGGTGGGGGCCGGGGCGGGCAGCAGCTGCAAGACAGAGACCCTCAATCTTTTTCTGAAGGTTCTAGGAGCTTCCCTTTCCCTGCTGACCCTCACTGAGGGCACAGGATGGCCCTCACTCTGCCTGCTGCCTTGGCAGAGCCTCTGCCTACACCCCCCCCCACCCTCCTCGCCCGGAACTCCTTCACTCCCAGGGGCCCAGCCAGTGTGTGGCCCACCTCTCTTATTTTAAGAAACGAGGAAAAGGTGGTGCAGAGAGGGGCTTCCAGTCGTCTGAGATCCCAGGGCCCCTTCCCTCTCCACCACCAAGCAAGCACGTCAACATCTAACAAATACAGTGGTGGGCAGGAGTGTGGACTCTGGGTTTGGACAGCCAGGTCGCTGAGGATCCTGAGCGGGCATGCAATTCACTTTTTTGTGCCTCAGTCTTGCCATCAATAAAGCCTGGAGAATAAAAGCTCAGGCCTCAAAGGGCTGCTACCAGGACTCAACGTAACAACGGATGCAGGACACCCGGCAACCACGAACGCCGGGCCCCAGAGGCAAGGACGCTGCGTCGCGGGGCCCCTCACAGACGTCGCCTGCTCACCTGGGTCCGAAGGTGCTGCTGTTCCCGCTCCAGTTTCTCCTGGTGCAGCAGCCGTACCTGCTCCTGCTGCTGCTGCAGCTGCACCTGCTGTGCAATCACCTTGAGCTTTTCTGGGTACATGTGGGCCTCCAGCGAGCGCACCTGAGAGCAGAGCAACAGGCTCGGTGGGGCATGGGCCCCAGACCACACCCTGGCGCCCCCAGCCTCTGTTCGGGGCCCTCGGGACTGCTGCGCTCAGCCTCCCCAAGTTCTGCCCTTCGCCAAGACGCCATTCACTCCCACTGCAAACCCTCACGTGGAGTTGGTCCACCCTTGGGGTAGAGACCAAAGTCCTGAGCACAGCCTGCCAGGCCCGCCATGACTCATCTCCTCTCCCGCCATGGCCTCCCTCATGCCCTGACCCCTCCCACCTCGAGGCCCCAGACTGTGTTGTTCTGCGTGCAGCACCCTTCCTTCTCTGCCTGGTTAACGTGAGACTCGACCTCCCCACCTCGGCTCCAATCACTTGCACCGAGAAGCCGTGGAGTAGCCCCCCTGGAACCAGCCCAAATCCCCCTCCCTGGTGCCCACCATTGGCACATGGCCCTTATCGCAGTCATGTTTTATTCCAGCCGTGTGAGATCCTCTGACAAATGTCCCTCAACCCCATGAGGACAGTGAGCCCCGAGGGCAGGGACCTGTCTGCTCTGCTTCCCGCTGAGCCCCCCGCTTGTAGGCCTGGCACAAAGCAGGTGCTCCTGCAGGCAAGTGGCCCGCCCTCACCTGCTCCTCCAGCATCATGCGCACCGAGCGCTCCTTGTCCAGCTGCTGCCGAAGCTCAATCATCTCCCGACGCAGATCCTCTGCCTTCTCGTCTTCCCAGATGTCTGGCGAGCCGATGCCCTCATCCTTGTCCTCTGCCCGCCGCCGCTTGGGGGATGAGCCGCTCAGTTCCTGGAGACCCCAAGGGGCCAGTGAGTGTGCCGTGACACTCCCACACTACTAACACCACCACCACCACCACCACCAACAGGGGAGTCGGGGGCTCCCTCACAGCCCCCCAGGCTGTCGGGCCCAGGTGCACCTGCGCTGGCCCCAGGGTGTCCCGTTCTGCAACTCCAACAAACGGCCAAAGGCCGGAACGGTGATTCCGGAAATCACCTGGTTCCTTCCAGAGCCCAGCCCACTGCACTTGACCGATGGGTAAACTGAGGCCCAGGCAGGAAGGCAACTGCCTGAAGTAGGCAGGTCAATAGGGAAGATGTGACCCACAACTGCAGAGGAGTCCCAGGCCACCGCTGAGCCAGAACACGGCCACACCAGGGAAACGGAGTCAGGACGGGGGCAAGGCACTGTGGTAGGAGGCGGCCTCCACGGGGCGCTACCTGGATAAAGCGCTTGAGCTGCGTGTTCTGCTGCAGAAGCCTGGTCTTCTCCTGCTCCAGGGAGAAGATGTACTCTGCCGTCTGCTGGAGAATGGCTGCCTACTGGTGGGAGGGACAAGTCAGGGCTCCCGGTGGGCTCACTTTCTTCTCCCCACTTGAGCCCACCACCTCCTCCAGGAAGCCTTCTAGGCCCTAGCCTACCTTGCTGAGCTTCTCTCCATCTGTGTGGGGAATGAGGGTCTTGAGGGACTGGAAGCCCGCGTTGATGCTCTGCATGCGCCTCCGTTCGTTACTGTTGGCGATCTCCCTCCGAATCCGCCGCTCCTGGTCCCGCTGCGTCTCAGGGGTCAGTGGAATGTTGGCGAGGCTACAGGGAGGGACAAAGACATGTTCAGGCTGGGTACCCTCCGTGCCCTGCCCCAGTGGGACCCTGTCTTTACAATTCATCTCCAGAGGGCCCCTAGTGTAACTTTCATCCCTCCACTGCAGAAGATGCCAGATCTGTCAGGTGCCTACGCCCCCAGCAGATCAGGAGGGTGATGGAGTTGTGTGCCCTGGGATGCCTGGGTGCAAGTGCTCAGCCCCAGGTCCCGCCCCGTGTCTGGCAGCTGTGTGTGCAGCCCAGAAGCCTGAATGGTTAACAAGAATCTCTGTGATTCTGATGCAGGTGGTGCCGGAGAACAATTGGAGACACCTGTCCTGGGATACCTCTGAGCATCTTGCTGCACACCTGGACCCCCTCCTTCAGCCCTGCAGGCTTCACGACTGAGGAAGAGGGTACCAGATACCCACAGCCACATCTCTGGCCACACACTCATCTGTAAGTCCCCAGCCGGCCCCGGACACCCCACGCTACGAAGGGGACACTAGGCCCACCACCCCTGGAGACACTTCCCGCCCCCAAACCCACCCACCCCAAGAGGCAGGCCCAGCCTGTGCCAGAGGAGCAAGGCTCCCAGCATGCAGTGGGCAATGTTATCGTATACTATGTGACTGCATCTTACAGGAGCAGCAGCTCGTGGGGGGAGAGAGAAGGCAGCCAGTGGAAGGGGGAGAGGCTATGGGCCCAGCGGCATTGGCAGGAGGCAAAGACAGCAGCGCGGCCTGTGGGCCCAACGCCACTGCTCCCGAGGGGTGGGCCTGTGTGTGGCCTGGAGGAGCCATTCACCCTTTCCCGGCCCTCTCCTGAAACTCCCCCCCCACCCCCCCAGCTCCTGGCCTGATGGCTTCCAGATGCTGGGCTCCCAGAAGAAGCCACCAGCCCCACCCAAAGCCACAGCCCTGGCTTCTTCCTGAGGGGCCCTCCCGGGGCGACCTGTTCCAGGCCTGGGCCAAGAGAGCTCACTCCCCTGGTTCTGGGGGAATGGGGACAGGCCTGCGGGCAGCCTTGTTCCTTTGATGGGGACCCTGGGCTCCAAGAGGTGCCCAAGCCCCCGTGCCCATCCCCAGACTGAAAGAAGTTTGCTCAGAAACCCAGGAGAATGCATCTGCAACAGCTGGAGAGAGGCAAGGCTTTCCCTGTCGCCCCCCCACCCCCCCGGCCCACCCCATCCATCCCATTCCAGGCCTGCAGGACCTTGGACTTGTCTTTGCCCCTTCCTGGGCCTTGGCCTCCTCTCTTGACAGAGAGGGTAGTCCATGGAAGGTGGGCTAAGAGCAGGCTCCACATCAGCTACAGCTGGGAGTCCACAGACAAGCCCTCTCCTCCACCAGCACCCCGACAGCCTCCCTGGGCCCCCTCGTTGAGGGTGCAGTTTTGTCACAGGGCCTTGGAATATCGATGCTGGAAAGTGGGTTCATGACCCTTTCCTTACAGATGAGACTTAGGACTCAGAGTGAGAAGGGACGGAGTTTTAGTGTAAGACTGCCAGTCATCGGGGTCCCCACTTCTGGGCCAGGGGCACCTCACTTGTCCCAGTTTCCCTGCCCCTACAGTGGAGGTGACAGGGTTGCTGGAGAGAGCAATGGAGAGGATGCAGGTCAGAGACCTGATGTGCAGTGGCTCGCCTGCCCTTTGTGGGGGCCTAGAACCTAGGCCAGGCTCCCCTGGTCTAGCAGTGCCCTTGAAACCCTCTGCGGTGGGGAGCCTGGCTGGCTCAGTAGAGCATGTCGCCTTCTTGGGGTTGTGAGTTTGGGCCCCACGTTGGACGTAGAGCTTACTTAAAAAAAAAAAAGTCGAGTTCTATGCTGACTCGTTTTGCTGGAATTTTCTCATTGAATTGTCACAATCTTCCTCAGTCCAGTGGCCTTACGATTGCTGTGTGGATTGAGGACATAGATTTGGGAAGGGAACAGCTCCAGCAAGTGGCGGGGCTGGGACTTAAACCCTGATCCCAGAGCCCTGCTCTTACCCACAGGACAGAGTGGGCTCTGCACCGTCCCACAGAGCCAGACACCCAGACAGACAGACGAGTTACCCTGTAGAAAAGGCAAAGCATGCGGCACGCACAACCACCATGCTCTTAATACCATCACAGAACATTTACATCATTCTCCATCTGACTCCCATGGACACCCAGCTGGGTAGCTGTGTTGCAAAGGGGAATCCAGGGTCCAAGGAAGGGAAGCGCCCAAGGTCAGACAACCAGACCAGGACTTAACAGGCATCTGCAGATGCCAAGCAAAAGCTCAGCTCCCCCCTCACACACACACCTGCTGATGGCACCCTCTATCCATGGCTCACAAATGACCCCGCTGCATACCAAAGCCCTGTGTATGGCCTCAGCAGATAATGCCCTTGCACCCTCCTGACAGTGGGGCAGGCACAGAAGTGACTTGCCCATGACAGGTCAGGCAGAGCAGGGTGCAGCTGCACTTTCATCCCCACCCTCAGAAACCAGAGTTCAGCCCCACCTTCTCCAACCAGGCAGCTCATGTGCCCATGAAAACCTCTGCCCTGGGGAGCAGACCCTCAGCTCTCCCTTCTCCCCAGGATGCCCAGGAGCTGGGGAGAACAAAGGAGAATGAAGGACCCAGGCAGGGAGCAGAGGCGGGCTCATCCTGGTTCTTCCAAATGTTCTATCCATTCTTTCCCTCTTGCTAAGTCAATCAGCCCACCTTCCCGGTTCAGGAACCAGCTGCTGGCTAACCTAGCGCAGACTTGCGTCCCAGAAAACAGACTTCACCCCAAAGCTGCAGTTCCTTATGAGAACTTTGGTTGCCACCAACAACGAACCCACACCCTCTCCACCCCCCAGCCCCGGGAGTACCAGCTGACAGATTCTTTAATAGAATGTGGACTAACCAGGGTTTCTTATTGGCGGAATGCTGACAAATCAGGGACTCTGATTGGTGGAATCATGGATAACAGGGAGTTCTCATTGGTGGGAGGGCTGGCCAACCAGGGGTCCTGATTGCTGACCAACCCGCGGTTCCTATAATGGATGGCTAATCCCGCTGATACTGTACTAGATAAAGTGGGCTTTTCTGCCAATGCCTGAAAGTTTCTCACATTTCTTTCTGAATTTGGCACACGTAAACATGATTTACAGGAATCATAAGGCCCTTTGTCTCCTCCACATCAACTTCAGACTCCCAGGTGAGCAGTGAAAGTAGTCTGGTTCACTGACACCCAGTATCTTTGGCTTCCCGCCCTCCCAGACCTATGAGAGCCAGTCTCCTGGAGGTGAGCAGCCAATGGCCAAGAACTGTGTGGGTACCAGCCCTGGGTGCCAAGATTGCCACCCTAATACCAGAGTACCCTCAAACAGCCCCGTGGGAATAAAACCAGCATACCAATCAGAGGTTATGGGGTAGGGAGCAAACTTACTTTCTTTCTTTCTTTCTTTCTTTCTTTCTTTCTTTCTTTCTTTCTTTCTTTCTTTTCTTTCTTTTCTTTCTTTCTTTCTTTCTTTCTTTCTTTCTTTCTTTCTTTCTTTCTTTCTTTTTTTATGTTTTTATTTATTTCTGACAGAGAGAAACAGAGCACGAGCTAGAGAGGGGCAGCGGGAGGGAGACACAATCCGAAGCAGGGTCCAAGCTCTGGGCTGTCAGCACAGACTCACACGAGGCTGGAACTCGTGAACTGAAATCATGACCTGAGCCAAAGTCAGACACCTGACCGACTGAGCCACCCAGGTGACCCGGGAGCACACTCTGCAAGACAGGACCCTGACCTGTACCTGTCCTTCCTACCCAGCCCAAAAGCAGGTACCCCTCATCCCCCTACACCCCCATGCCTGGCTCTAGCCTCAGATTAGCCACTGAGAACTCTCATTTTACACTACCCAAAGTCACTCACACACCTGCCACTCAGTGTCTACAGTGTGAGGTGGGAAACCCCACACGGGATTTCTCCCTACCCCGAAAGGAAGACAGAAGGTAAGAAGTTGACTCTCAGCAAGGACGCCCAAGGCACTCCCCTCCGCAGAAGGTACTGAAGCCGCCCAGGGCCTTCCGCCAGCCCCGCTGTTGTATCCATACTCCACACTCTGCCCAGGCTGCCACCCCTGCCCTTATCCCAGAACAAACCATGTTTAGGCTGTTCCCATCAGAAACACCTCTTCTCTCCCCTCCCCTCCCCATGGCTTCCTCAGCTCCTCAGAGGGAACTCCCTGAACCATGTTCAAGTACAAACCACCCCAGCCTCTTACTAGCTGTGGAACCCCATGGTTAGCTACTTCATCTTTCAAAGCCTCAGTTTCCCCACCTGTGAATGGGGAAACATTGCCTCACTTCATAGGATCATGGTGAAATTTAAAGACACAGGCGAGGGGTACCTGAGTGGCTCTGTCTATTAAGCATCCTCTAGATTTTGGCTCAGATCATGATCTCACAGTTTGTGGGATCAAGCCCTGCATCGGGTTCTGCACAGAGCCTGCTTGGGATTCTCTGTCTCCCTCTCTCTCTCTCTCTCAAAATAAATAAATAAACATTTGAAAAAATTAAAGACACAGAAAAGGGAGGCCCCTGGCTGGCTCAGTTAGTGGAGTGTATGACTCTTAATCTTGGGGGTCATGAGTATGCTTAGGTTATTAAAAGAGAGATAGAAGGAGGGAGTGAGGAAGAAAAAAGAGAGACTGAAGAAACAGGATGACTGGTTTTTCCAGAGTTTGTACCCAGGACTCGAGGAGAACCCAAGATCTCTCTTAGGGGGCTGACAAGACTCTTTAGTACTAGGAGACTGAACTCTTAGCATAGGGCCAGTTTTGGCTCCTAGCACAGAGTAGGTACATCATAAAAACTGCATCAAGGGGGCACCTGGGTGGCTCAGTTGGTTAAGCTTCCGACTTTGACTCAGGTCATGATATCACGGCTGCTGAGTTCGAGCCCCACATCAGGCTCTCTGCTATCTGCTTCAGATCTTTTGTACACCCCCCGCCCCCATCTGCCCCTGCCACACAATCTCCCTCAAAAATAAACATAAAACAAAACAAAAAAACAGATCAAGGACCCAGCACACATTCCAAAGCCCCTAGCTGTTCCCTAACTCCTTCTGAGAACTGGTCTCTTCCCACCCACCCCCCCAAGGGCAGTAGGTAAACACTCTACGACCAAAATGCTCCTGCTTCTAAAAGTGTGAGTGCCAGGGCGCCTGGGTGGCTTAGTCGGTTAAGCGTCCGACTTTCGCTTAGGTCATGATCTCGCGGTTCGTGGGTTCAAGCCCCACATCGGGCTCTGTGCTGACTGCCAGCTCAGAGCCTGGAGCCTATTTCAGAGTCTGTGTCTCCCTCTCTCTCTGACCCTCCCCTGATCATGCTGTCTCTCTCTCTCTCTCTCTCCTAGAAATAAATAAAAATATTGAAAAAAAATTTTTTTAAATAAAAATAAAAGTGTGAGTGCCATTTTAACAGATACCAGGTGCTTTCCACACACACAGCCAACCTTTACAGGTGCTCTATTTTACAGAAGCAGAGAGCACTGAGACAACCCAAGTCCAAGACCACACAGCTTGGGCAGGAGCAGCTATGAAGGGGAATGCTGGGATAGAGGAGACACGGGGACCCACGGTGCAGTATGGCCCCCTCCAGCAAGTATGGGAGAAGGATGAGAGAGACAAGGAACCCTTCAGGCACTGAGAGATGGAACAAAGTCCAACAGTTTGAGAAACCAGTCCACACAGCCAAAAGGTCCCGCCCCAGCCACACATTTGATCCCACCTCACCCCCACAGCTCCTTCTGAAAATGAACAGAGGCCCCAACTCCATACCCAGTGCAGGAGCTTACAAGGGTCTCACAGATAGGCAGGCTCACACCTGGGGCACTTGGCCCCTGGCGACTGCTGGACTCCCCTAAAGTGGGGCTTGGGACAGGGACAGAGTGAAGCCAGAGTCCTAGAGTCCGAGAGGATTCAACTAAGGGCCAGGCCTGACGGCCAGAGGTCCCTACTGTGCCAAGCCTGCCCAGGATCAGGTGCCGACCGTCCTGCCCAACATCCGCAGCAGCGCAACCTCACCTCCCCAATGCCCAGCCCTTCCCGGTAGAAGCAGGTCTCCGGGATCAGGGTTCAAGTTCCAGCCCCACCACTTGCTGTAACTGTTTGCTTCTCAAGCCTGTGTCCTCATACCACACAGGAATCATAAGGCCGCTTAACTCAGGAGGAAGACTGAAAATTCAATGAGAAAACTCCAGCAAAACGAGTCCCTAGAACATATCAAGAGGAGCAGAAATTTTTTTTCTTATTACAGCTAGGTCCTCCAGGTAGACCTAGGCCACCAGTCTGGTTGCCCACCACCCTGAACTTGAAAATTGTTAAGGTAGGAACTCTGGAGCAGGGTGGGGTGTGTGCATACAAGAGCAGCAGCCATCCCCAGCCTCATTTCTGCAGCCCCTGGTGTCCACCAGCCTGGGCCACACCGCCCTGGGCTCCTCCTCCCTCAAGCCCCGCCCAGGCTGCCCTGGGCGGCAGAGCACGTGGCCCCAGCCCTAGGGAGCCATTTCGCTCCCAGAGCAGCAAGGCCGTACAGTGACTGCAGATCCCACACTTGGACACACAGGAGGGCCCCGGCCACTGTACTGCCGCGTCCCACAGGCGATATTCAGTGCTGATGCCCAAGCCCTTATCCTGGCCATCAGAGTTGCGGACGTGTGCATTTTAACCAATGTCCAGGGAAATGGGGTGCGAGTGGTACACGCACCCGTCACCCTTTGGTATAGGGTGGATGTGGAGCAACCCGGGCCAAACTTGGAAAGTGGCTCCGGAGGGGCCGAGGACCACCCACCCACGCACCCAACACGGCTGGAAGACTGAACGCTTTCGGTTTACAGCAGGGAGGGGGGGGAAGGGGTGTGGATGGGAAAGTTTGCAGCCGAGACCAGCGTGCGGAAGGCAGCAGCCTTGTGAGGCCAGGCGCGGCCTCTGGAACCCCCTCCCCAAAAGGCGCCTCCACCGGGCCTCCCTGGCCCATCCAGCCCGCGGGAGCCGAGCTTTGTGCGAGGAAAGCGTGGCCCGGGCGCGCCTACAACTCCCACAATGCCGCACCGGTGGGGCTCGGGGAACTACAGCTCCCGCGAGGCGGCGCGCGGGGGTCCGCCTACTCCAAGAGGGCTGCAGAGTCACGTCCAGGCCTCGCTAGTAAACAGCGCCCGGGCGCGGGCGGCAAGCGAGAGAGCGGCCGCTAACGTGCCCGAGTCCTCGGCGCCCCCGGCCGGCAGCACCGGCCTCTCGGGTTCCACCCATCCCTACGTCCCTACTCGAGCACGCCTCCAGACCCCGCCGCAGCCCTGCTCCCAGCAAACACACCACCCGGCTCCCCGATCCTACCCCCCCCCCCACCCCGCGCCGAGAGCCGCGGCGTGGCTGCATTGTAGCCGACCGCGCAGCAGCCCCACGCGCGCCCCGGGCACCCCCCAAGCCCCCTTGGAGGGGGTACCCAGAGACAGCGAAGAAGGAGGGAGAGGAAGGAAGCCGCCGCGGGAGGGGGGAGGAGGAAGCGCGGGGGGGGAAAGCCACCAGCACCAAGCATGGCCGGGACTGCTGCAGAACCACGTGGGTCTGTTTGCAATTTACAAACGTCGCGACTCGCCCGCCTGCAGCGGACAAAAGTGACCAGGGCCGCTCGGGGCCCCCACGTTCCCGGGGAGGAGGGTCCCCCGGCGGCGCAAGCCCAGCTCGCGGGGCTGTAGCCGCCCCGGAGGCTAAGAAAGGCGAGCGGGGTCGGCAGCGCGGGCCATGCGTGCGCACACGCGCGCCAGCCTAAGCGGGCTGGCCAGGGGCTGCAATCATGGGAAGGGGTTGGGGGGGAGGAGGAGTACACACCTACAGAGCCCTCCTATCACTTCTTTCTCTGTTTTCCTGAAATGTTGCAAAGAGGGCACCTTCTGAGTGGGCACCATGAAATACTCCATAGCGATCGGCCCCCCTCCTCTGCACGAGCCGGGTCCCGCGGTCCGCCGGAGAATGCAAGATGGAAATCCGAATCAAAGGGCAGCGCCGGACGGAGGTGCAGAAACGGCCGGTCCCAGATGCTGGCGGCGGCGGCGGCGGCGAGGGGAGGGAGGCGGGCGGGAGGGGCGGGAGGGAGGTCTCTCCGGCCTGCCTCCCCGGGCGTGTGTATGTGTGTGTGTGTTTGCAGCTGATCAGATGTCTGTTTCAAGGCGGGAAACAGCTGGTGAAAACTCAGCACTCCCCCGGCCTCCTTCCGCGGAGTAAGGAATTGCATGTAAACAAAGGACTATTTGCAGCGCCCCCCGGGCGGCGCGAGGCCCGGGTGAGAGGGGCGCGGGCCCCCGGGGACTGGTTGCGGCCTGGGTCTGCGGGCCTACCCCCCCGGTACCCGGAGCCGGGGGCAGTGGGCCGGCTGGGGGGGCGCGGCGTGAATGAAGCGAGCTGCGGCCGAGCTACATGCGCCACTATGGGTGATGAGGTCCATCAGCTGACAGGTTGGCAAGCGTTGCAAAAAAAAAAAAAGAAAGAGAGAGAGAGGGAGAGAAAGGGGCCAGCCACCGCGAGGGAGCCTAGCCCGTGCGCCCGGGGTCCGGCGGGGACCGGCCGATGCGGGGTCCCGGCGCTCGGTGGCCCTGGGGGGCGGAGGGCGCGCAGTTGCACCGCGAGCGCGATGGCGAAGGAGGCTTGGGGTGCTGCTCGGGGCTTTTTCTTTTGCACGGTTGCAGCTGCACGGAGAGGAGCCGCTCTGGCGCGCTCCCTCAGAGCCCAGGGCCCCCTGGAAACTTGCGTCACAGCAACCTCTTCCCACATGTAACTTGGGGCCGACTTCGGAGGCCAGCCAGCCCCCTCCCTCCCTGCCTGCCCAGTTGGCCGCCTGGCCCGGGCTCCGGAGCCTGGGAATCCCGCAGCCGGACTGGAGAGAGCAAAGGGGGGCGCGCCGGGCGCCTCCGATTCTGAGGCTGCCTTACGAAACGGGGGCCCCGGTGGGGAGAGAAGGGTGGGGGCGGGCCAGGACCGCAGCGGCCGCGGCAGCGGGCTGCCAAGCGCGACCTGGAGGTCTGGCGGCTGCTGCCGGGTACCCCCCTATTTCCCACCCCCTCTCCCCCTCCGCGGGAAGGCTGGACAGAAGGAGACGCAGGGCCGCAGCTTCTCATTCATGGCTAAACTAGTACGGGACCTGCTCCTCCGCCAGGGTGCGCTCTGGCTACGGGTGACGGCCCAGGGCGGGGAGGGAGGGACCGTGGTGGCCAGCTTCCGTCCCCCCTCCCGTGTCCCCTCCCCTGGCTCCTGGAGGGTTGGCCCCTGGCTCAGGAAGACCACGCCTGCCTTGGAATGTCCTCCCTCCTGCCCACTGCCTTTCCCAATCCCATCCGCCTTCAAGGTTCCACCCAAATCGCGCCTAATTAAACTATTCCTACTAATAAAAAGAGTTACTGTTATTCCGGGAACTATTATTAGTATTAGATTTCGCCAGCACCTTGTAGAGTTTTGCATGCATGTTTTCCGATCCTGAAAGCAACCTGTTGGGTAGTTTCTCTCAGTACAGGTCCCAAACCATTTAACATCACAGTCCCTGGAAAGCCTTACTGTGGGGACAGGAAGTGTGCTCAGGAAATGATGACTTCCTGGGAGGAAATATAGGATAGAAGGCCACAGAACTGTTTACACCCAGCGAAGTCTATAGTGCCTCTGGATGAATGAGTGAATGAATGAGTGAGTGAGAGCTGGGAGAAATGTGCTTATCTCTTAACAGAACTGCTTTGGTGGAACCTGGGAGCTGTCACTCAGACTGGCCTGGCCGTTCCTGCCACAGGTGCCGAAAATGCCCGCTGGGGGTTCATCTGCTCCTCCCCAAGGCCTGAAATAGCATCCCTGCCCCCACCACCCGACTCCAGCTCCCTCCCAACACTTAGCCCTCTTTCCTGAAGTGACACAAGAAGCCCTCAAACTCCAAGCTGTCCCCCATTTCCAGGACTCCCAAACAGGGTCCACTGTGCCCTCTGCAAAATCCCTTAGAGACTCTACCCCTGAGTCTCCAGGTCAGCAAACCTTTTCTGTAAAGGGCGTATAAAAGTTATTTGTGATGGTTTCCATTGCTACAGTAACAAATAACACAAGGCTCGCTAAGCTGATACAAATTTATTCTCTGGAGGTCAGAAGTCCAAAAGGGTTACATTTGGCTAAAATCATGGTGTCAGCAAAGCTCCTTTCCTTTTGAGAGTTCTAGGGGAGACTCCTTTCCTTACCTTTTCCAGCTTCTAGAAGCTGCCCAAGTTTTTTGGCTGGTGGCACCCCACCCCCTCCAGGAGGTCACTGCAACCTCTGCTTCTATTACCATATTTCCGTCTCAGACTCTGACACCCCCCCACACTGTCTCTTTGATGATGACCTTGAGCCCACCCAGACAGTGCAGAATAATTTCCCCATCTCAAGATCCTTACCTCAGTTGTATCTTCTTCAAAGTCCCTTTGGCCACATAAGGTAACTTAATAACAGGTTCCACCGATTAGGATGTGAACGTCTTGGGGGGACCATACCATTCTTAGTTCCGGGGCCATACAAACCCTGGCAGAGGTTGTAATATGCTCCCCCATTTCCACTTCTAGAATAAAAACAGGGACTCAAACAGGTAATTATATACCAGTGTTCATAACAGCATTATTCACAGTGGCTAAAAGGTGCACACCACCCACTGTCCTTCAACTGATGAGAGAGGATAAGCAAATGTGGTCTATTTGTACAATGGAATATTATTTGGCGTTAAAAAGGAATGAAGTGCTAATATATACCACAGCACCAATGAACCTTGAAAAGTAAAATAAGCCAGGACTGGGGTGTCTGAGTGGCTCAGCCCGTTAACTGTCCAGCTTCAGCTCAAGTCATGACCTCATGGTTCCTGGGTTCCAGCCCTGAGTTGGGCTCTGCGCTGATAGTCAAGCTTGCCGAGGATTCTCACTGTGTCCTTCCTCTATGCGTGCTCTCTCTCTCTCTCACACAAAATAAATAAATAAACTTAAAAAAAAAAAAAAACATAAGCTGGGGCGCCTAGGTGGCTCAGTCAGTTAAGCATCCGACTCTTGATTTGGGCTCAGGTCATGATCTCATAGTTCATGGGTTCGAATCCCGCATTGGGCTCTGCACTGACACTACGGAGTACTCTAGGATTCTCTCTCTCCCTTTCTCTGCCCTTCCCGCTTGCGCTCTCTCTCACTCTCAAATAAATAAAAATAAATGTGTTTTCTTTTTTAAGCCAGGGTACAAAAGATCACACATTATATGATTACACTGGCATGTAATACCTAGGACAGGTAAATTCACAGAGACAAAAAGTGGATCAGAGGTAACTGAGGGGGTTTGTGTGCTGGGGTGAGGGGGGGATGGGGGAGTTATTGCTTAAGGAGTATGATGTTTGGGGTGATGGAAAAATTTTGGAAATAGTATTGATGGTTGCACAACATTGGGAATGTAATTGTTGCCACTAAATTGTACACTTTAGAATGGCGGCAGGCAGAGGCGTCTGCGTGGCTCAGTCAGTCATGATTTCGGCTCAAGTCATGATCTCATGGTTCCTGAGTTCGAGCCCCAGCATCAGGCTCTCTGCCATCAGCTCTGAGCCCACTTTGGATTCTCTGTCTCCTCTTTCTCTGCCCCTCCCCCACTGGTTCTCTCTCTCTCTCTCTCAAAACTAAATATTTAAAAAAATAAAAGAATAAAGGCTCTTAATAGGAATTAAGATTTTACAAAAATATAATAAAAAAAGAAAATGGTGGAAATGGCCAACTTTATACTATATACATTTTACCATTAAAAAAAGAAAAATGGGGGCACCTGGGTTTTCAGTTGGTTAAGCTTCTGACTGTTGATTTCACCTCAGGTCATGATCTCACAGTTAGTGAGACTGAGTCTCACATCGGGCTCTGTGCTGACAGTATGGAACCTGCTTGGGATTCTCTCTCTCTGCCTCTCCCCTGCTTGTGCGCTCTCTCGCTCTCTCTCTCTGTCTCTCTGAAACTAAATAAACATTTAAAAAATAAAAGAAAAATGGTCAGTGGGTGAGGTTTGACCCGTGGGCTATAGTTTGCTCGACCCATAGGTCCTGCCGACGCCCTGTGCCCCTTTATCGCCTCACTTCCCTCCTTACCCAGCTCAGAATTCACAGCCCCTCAACGCATTCCTTCCCTTGTGTGTCCAACCCCCGCCCTGCCCCTCCCCCACCCTCCCGATTCAGCAGAACAGCCCTGCGAAAAGGAAATCCCACAAGCTGGCTGACTGATGTAATTTTCAAATCCCCCTAGGGAGCCTCCAGTCACCCAGGTCTGTTCTTCCCGCCACCTTCTCCTCTGTCAGGACGGTCATCACCTCCCCACCTCCTCGCTCAGCTGCGTGACTTCAGATCCTAAGAACCCGGGACCGTCTGGACGAGAAGCCCCGCGTGCTCCTATTGCTGCCTCTGCACACACACACACACACCCCCCCCGCACCTGTAACCTGCCATCTGGCCCCTGGCCCGTCTGGATGAATGTCTGCGCTCTGCAGGTGCATGGAGAACCCCTCAGGGGTGTCCTCTATCCTACATCCGTACCGCGTGCCCTCCATTGGACCCTTTCCCTCACCGAGAACAAGCTGTGTGATTCCCATTTAAAAAACAAAGCAAAACAAAACACCCACAACCCTCCACCCCTTCCAGGCTAACACTCTCTCCCTGCTGTTCTTTACAGCAAAACTTCCTGAAGTGGGTGTTTTGTTCCCTCTCTCCTTCACTCTGCCCGGCCCCCACGACTCCTCCGGGAAAACTGCTCTTGCTGAAGTCACTGGTGTTCCCTCCAAGGAGCTGTTTTCTGTCTTCACTGTATGCGACCTTCTTGAAGTTTTTTTGCTTGGCAGCTGGGACACGCCCACAGCCAAATCCTCGACCCGTCTCGGTCTGCCCACACTCTCTGCTTTTTGGACGATAGGGTTCCAGAAAGGACCAGAAGCCATATGGTGTGGTTCAGGATCCAGGTTCTACTCGAACCCCAGCTTCAGGTAGGAGGGTGACCACAGGCAAGTTTCCTTAACCTGACTCAGCTCCCTTGTCTGTAAAAGAGGCCTTACAGCCCCTAACTTGCAGGCTGTTGCAAGAAGTCTGTGATACACCTGGCATGTTGTAGCATTAATAAGGAGCAGTTGCCGGTATCACTGATGTCAGGTTGCCACGGGCAGCAGTGACCAGAGGCATGTGAGCAAGACCAGGGAGAATGACCGGGTTTGGTGGCAATGTGCAGGGGGCGGGGACAGAGGAGAGCGAGCTCTTTTTCCCTTCCTGCTAAAACCTGCCACAGGTGAAAAGGAGCCAGTGTATTGTAGGGTTCTTTGCTGTGCTTTATGGTAGATGCCTTTACATAGGATCGGGTGGTATGACCATCAACCGGCAGACCACTTGCCCTTTATTTTATTTTATTTTTTTATTTTTTAAAATTTTATTTTTTTACCATTTTCCATGGGTTTAATTTTTTTAAGGTTTTTATTTATTTCTAGGAGAGAGAGAGAGAGAGACAGCGTGAGCAGGGGAGGGTCAGAGAGAGAGGGAGTCACAGACTGAAACAGGCTCCAGGCTCTGAGCTGGCAGTCAGCACAGAGCCCGACGCGGGGCCTGAACCCACGAACCACGAGATCATGACCTAAGCGAAAGTCGGACGCTTGACCGACTAAGCCACCCAGGCGTCCCGACCACTTGCCCTTTAAAAGGGGGCAGGGGTTGGGGCGCCTAGGTGGCTCAGCTGGTTAAGTGTCCAACTTCGGCTCAGGTCATGATCTCACGGTTCACGAGTTCGAGCCCCACATCAGGCTCACAGAGCCTAGAGCCTGCTCCAGATTTTGTGTCTCCCTCTCTTTGTGCCCCTCCTCTGCTCACACTCTGTCTCTCGAAAATAAACATTGAAAAAAAAATAAAAGGCGGGGAGGTGTCTCTGTAAAGACTGTGATCAAATAACTGCTTGGTGGATGATCTGTGTTAGAAATGCAGACTATCATCTATGGAGCTGACAGACAGCTGGCCCGCCTGCAGCTGGGCTGCAGATACTGCTCTGGAAGGCAGGCATGGGGAGGGGTTCGGATGGACCTGGAGAAAAGAGCCGTGACTGCAGTGTGGCCTAGGACACCTCAGAACCCTGACCCTCCTTCCTCTGTGTTATCAAATATGAGCCCACCCTTTGGGGCGCCTGGGTGGCTTAGTCGGTTAAGCGTCCGACTTTTGCTTTGGTCATGTTCTCTTGGTTCGTGGGTTCTTGCCCCGCGTCGGGCTCTGTGCTGACTTCCAGCTCAGAGCCTGGAGCCTGTTTCGGTCTGTGACTCCCTCTCTCTCTGACCCTCCCCTGCTCACGCTGTGTCTCTCTCTCCTAGAAATAAATTTAAAAAAAAAAAAAAATATGAGCCCACCCAGCTCCCTCCCTCTCCCACTGCTCCCCTTCCCCCTTCCCCCATCCCCACCCCCAAATTCCAGGTAGAAGGAGTGAATGAGTCAGCAACAGAATACATAAAGTGTGGTCTATCCACCCAGAAGAGTATTACTCAGCCAGGAAGAGGAATGAAGTACCTATACATGCTACCATGTGGATGAACCTTGAAAACATGATGCTCAGTGAGAGAAATCCATCACCAAAGGACAGAGAGTGTATGACTCCATTAAGTGGAACACCACAGACACGGCAGCTAAATGACTGGTTGTCAGGGGCTGGGAAGAAGAGGAAAAAGGGAGTTGCCTGCTGACAGTTATGGGATTTCTTTTGGGGAAGATGAAATGTTCTAGAATAGACTGTGATGAGGGTCACACAAATTCTGTGAATATACTAGAAACCAGTGTACAGTACGCTTGTTTTTTTTTTTTGAAGTATAGGTGACACACAATGTTACATTAGTTTCAGGTACACAACATAGTGATTGAACAACTCTGTGTGTTATGCTGTGCTCACCACTGAATTGTACACTTTATTTTTTTTTTTTAATGTTTATTTTTGAGAGCGGGGAGGGGCAGAGAGAAACAGGGAGACAGAGGATCCAAAGCAGGCTCCACACTGACAGCAGAAAACCCAATGTGGGGCTCAAACTCATGAACTGTGAGATCATGACCTGGGCCAAAGTTGGACACTCAACCGACTGAGCCGCCCAGGCGCCCCTGAATTGTACACATTAAATGGGTGAGTTGTATGGTATGTGAATTATATCTCTATAAAGTTAACAAACAAAAGGAATGATGTACAGATGCATCCTACAACACAGGTGAGTCTTCACACCATGCTGAGTGAAAGAAGCCAGAAACAAAAGCCCCAGAGTGTAGGATTCCATGTGGATGTAACGCCTAGGATAGGCAAATCCATAGACACAGAAGGGCTAAGAAGCTGCCAGGGAATAAGGGGGAGTCAGGGGGAAATGGGGGGGTGACTGCTAATGGGTACAGGGCCATTTCTCCTGGGGTCATGGTTGCACAATTCTGTGAATATACTAAAAACCATGCCATTGTACACTTGAGATGGGTGAACTATATGGTATGTGAATTCTATCTAATAAAGCTGTTATTTAGACAGACCCTAAAGATGCCCAAAAGTCCAGGGAGTTCCAGAAGTCACAGCCCCCGCGTCCCAGCAGTGGGTTTCCGGGAGCTCCTTTCTTCAGTCAAAGCGGGATCCGGCTGCCGCCAGTGCCGCCAGCATAGCCCTGCTCAGAGCAAACAGTGCCCTGTCTCCCCTCTCATCGCAGGCTGGCTGCAAGCTTGGATGAGGGATGTGGAACATGCAAGTAACACATTTACACTGTAGCCAGGAGGCGGGACTGTCAGCGGGATGGCTGATGCAGATCTGAACCCCAGATAGCCCCCGTGGGCAGGGGCAGGTATATGATAGTGGGGGAGGGGCAGAGAGCGAGGGAGAGAGAGAGAATCCCAAGCAGGCCCTGTGCTGTCAGCTGGAACCGTGAGATCATGACCTGAGCCGAAACCAAGAGTCAGACGCTTAACTGACTGACACACTCAGGCGCCCCAAATTTTTCTCGTTTTTAAATTTTTATTTTGCATGTGTGTGCAATTCTCCTCTTCTCTTTGGACAGAGGATGTGTTCATTTCCTTTTGCTGTGTAACAAGCTTCCACAAATTTACTGGCTTAAAAGAGCACCCGCTTATCATCGCTGAGTTCTAAGAGGTCAGACGGCCAGGTAAGGCATGACTGGGCTCTCAGATTAGGGTCTCACCAGCTGAAATCCAAGGTGATACGAGGCTATGATCTCATCTGGGGCTCTGATTCTCTTTCAGGCTCACCGGTTGTTGGTAGAATTCCGTTTCTCTCAGCTGTAGGACTGAGGTCCCCGATGTCTTGCTGACTGTTGGCTGGTGACTGAGCTCAGCTCCTAGAAGCCATCCTCAGGTCTTGTCCTGTGGCCCCTCAGCTCAGACGGCTGAGCAACAGAAGATGTCTTTTATGAAGACTCCTCTCTCACTTTGAATCTCTAATTTCCTCTTCTACAGCCAGCAGACAGAAAAGTCTCTGCTTTTATTTGTTTTATTTATTTTTGAGAGAGAGAGAGAGCACAAGCAGGGGAGATGGGGACAGAAGATCTGAAGCAAGCTCTGTGCTGACTGCAGGGAGCCCGATTCAGGGATTGAACTCACCAACCACAAGATCGTGACCTGAGCTGAAGTCGGAAGCTCAATCGACTGAGCCAGGCAGGACCCCCCCACCAAAGTCTCTGCTTTTAAAGGGCTCATGACTGGAGCCTGGAGCCTGCTTTGGAATCTGTATTGCCCTTGATCTCTTCCTCTCCACCCCCCACCCCCGCTCATGCTCCATCTCTCTCTTTCAAAAATAAACAGAAAAAAGAATGTTGTAATAAAAATAATAAGGGGCTCGTGATTAATCTCTCTCAGGGTCAACTGTGCCATATAACATAAACTAATCATGGGAGTCACACCTTCTGCACAGTCTCCACCCACACTCAACGGGAGGGTGTCCAAGGGCAAACATCACCGGGAGTCAGCAACCATACACAGGGGAACATGAGAGAGGTGCCGGAGAATGTTGAGGGACTTCTCCAAGGACATCTAGATAACTGGAGACGGAACCCAAACAGGAATCTAAGGTCCCAACCCTAATTCCAGGCTTCTTCTTCTACACAAATATGCCCAGGAGCCGGGGGATACACCAGATGGCTTTCTGAGCCCAGCCTGCTGAGTGAGGAGGGTGGGGAGTAGGTATCAGCTGTTGAAGCAGGGATGGGGCCCCTGAGAAGCAAAATGTTCCTGCCAGGAAGATCCTGAATGCTCCCAGGAAAGCAGAGTGAGAGTCAGATGGCCCTCCTGGGGTTTGGAGCAAAGCCCAGTATCCCCAATGTCCTGGCCTCCTTTACTAGCCTTAGACAGGG